ACACTCAACAAGCACGCACGAGAAACTAGGGAACACACAAGGTCAGCAGTGACCTGTTCTCAATAATTTCTTGAGAGGCTACTCCAAATGTCACAGGTCATAAGGGAATGGGGTGGGTTATCGATCACGAGACTCATAAGGTATTTTTCTGTCAAGAAATATTCTACTTCAAAAATGTCAGTATACGCAATATTTGAAACTAGCTGGATCTCCGTTAGGACCAACACTTTATCTTCCACGTAAAAATAGCTTGTCGTGGTTCTTGCTATCACGCATGTACAGAAGTGATACATTCATTTCACAATAGTGAACGACGCGATACTACCGATGAACCGAGAGAATTTCCCCTATGGACTCATCCTGAAATGTTGTTTACTCAAAAACGGTCATGTTGCCTAACATGTTCACAATCAACTCAGCCGGGTTCAATTATCATCCATTTTTGTTTTTTGTTCCTTTTCATCTCAATCGGTTTTGTAGGCCAGATTGTACCCTGATTGCAGTTAATAATGTTCATGCGGTTCACCGTCACCAGTCTGAACGTGACATCTAAAATGGCATTGAACGAAGGCATATTATCTTTTCTTTTGTCTGCATTATACAGAATCTTAGTCGTATTCAGTTAGGGGCTGTTAGATTACCACGATATAAGTTCTAACTTTAAATTATTCATGATCTTGAAGATCTAAGGGTATATATTTTTTTATCATAATGTAAGAAACCTCGAGTGAAACGTGAAATAAAGCATTATTCTAGAACATCTCCGGTTTTATATAAGTTGTAGGCACAGTTTTGGAAACGATGCTCTGTTTTCTTTTACTTAAATTCATTTGTCTATGGGTCGCTTTCGTAGTTATCCAACAATACCATAATCTTTAGTTTTTTGCAGTCCAAGTCATTCAAGGTGTTGTCGAAATTCGTTTTTTCAGAGCCACGATCTCATACTTTGGAAGATGCATGTTGTAATTATGTAAAATCATCCCTGATTGTGTGCTAACCATAGAAATAGTGGAAGAATTGTTCAGGTAGGATTGCATCCGCGTGCAACACGAGGTTTGTAAAACACTGATTATCCCACGGAACATTACTTCATCTATTCAATCACTATTTGAGTATTCACACTAGGTTTAAGGTCTTGCTCAACTTTTCTTTCAAACAACCACCATGATAATATTACTTATTACATTCCATATTACATACATACCAAGTGAAAAACTACGTGGCATATCTGATTTGCAATAAACTAAAGATGGTCATATTGCCGGACAACTAACAAACGGACCAATAACCGCGTGGGTTTGTGCGAAAGCAAACAAAAAATGTTTCTATAACTGCGTTCGGGAGAGCGATGGAGCTACCCAGTGGCCAAGGTCAGCAAATTATCACCCCGGAAGTAGACGTGTATTCACGTCTTCCCACAAGCGCCTGATTCCTCCCATGATGTTTTGCACGACAGCCCTGTGACTGAGCTCTGCCCCGTACCTGGAAATTATATCATTGTGAATACAATAAATGGAAGTAAAAAGAAAAGTGAAAAGAAAATTAAATAATCGTTATTGTCATGTTTCACTTGATGTCTGTATGCTTTTGGGTGAAAAGGCGTTTGCTCTTAGATACCTGGCATCGCGAATTATTTATGCATATAATTCACAACATATCACATTGATAGTCTCCCTCGCAATTACACTTTTCAAACATGGTTTAATCATTGTCCAATAGAGTTAATCACAGAATGAATAACGACCAAAAACGATTAGAATATTGGATCATTTTGAATTCGTCTTGGGGGTTTACATAAGATGAATGTTCGTGAAAACAAAGCGTTTATGAATAACTCTAGAAACTATATTTTATTATGAAACGGCAGATTTCATGAATACCAAATAGTTGATTTTTCTAAAATCCAATGTGCCAACTTTTGGTACCAACGGGTGAACCACACTCTCAATTGTATATCGTTAACAACGATATTTGCGACGACTTTATAGAAGTCAAGAGTATGTTAATCATCACTCTGGAGTACAGCAAAAATACATCGAACCTCATGCGGTGGCTCAATGATCCGGAGCGAGTGGACCGTGTATTCTGAATTTGGGAACCAAAACCTTCATTCTGTACACTGAACGATACGTCTCAGTGTCTTTCACTGTCAACATGATTTTACCGAGTGCAGCCTCAGTTTTACCCCCGGGAACGTTTTTGATCAATATACCTGTATACAGTTTGATTCCCAGGCCAACCAGATAATTTAAACTTTGTGTTGTTCAATCATACAATCGGTAAGTGTTCGAAACCTGTTTCTATCGAATTAATCAATTACCGTCTTCCAAAAGTATCTAATCACACTTCTCTTGATGCAATAAGAGGATTGGAAATATTTTAGATATGGTGTGATCAATAGCAGTCCAAAGGGTTGAATTATACATTCAGCATATGTGCTTTAATAAAGGTGCATGATCAGTTAGTCTAGCAAATATGGGGTGTTTGAAAAATGTACTGATGTTGTTCATAACAGCCTCAATTGATCATTTGAACACGTGTTCTTATGGGCAAATAATGATTGAGTGGGTTGCTACCCATTATTTACTCAAATTCAAGGTTCCATGGAAAACCTCCATTGGTGATTGATTTAAACTTACCATACCATTAATAAGTCACATAAGATTATTGTTGGGGTTCTTTTTGGATAAACTTCAGATCGGGTAATCTGTCTTCTTCAATTAAATGGTGTTATAAAACAGAAGGAAATGTAAGAACCAGTGCCATCAATCTCCCAGTATAGTACCAGATTGATGTTTCAAATATGC